TCTTCTCTTCTCTTCTCTTCTCTTCTCTTCTCTTCTCTCTCTTTTCTTTCTTTACAGTTTTACATGGATGCCTTTCCTTTCCCCACCCTACCACGGTTTTGCTCACGCTTACAGAGGCAGCTCTGTCCAGACCTCGTCTTGACCTTGGCTTAGCGTAGCTGAGTTCTCCTTGACCGCCCCGCTGTGGTGTCAGATTTCTGGGCTCCGCTTTGAGCTACAGCGTGAACAGTCTTTGGTGGGGCCTGAGAGTAGGTGTGAGGACGACGCGCCCTGGCCTCTGGCTGCCTTGTTGGCTTGCTCGGGCTTCGCCTTCTCTTAGGTCATACGGTTCCTTTCCCTGGGTGGGCGTGTGCTCCCTGCTGGTGCTGCCTTCTTGCTTTAGGTGGTTTGTGGGGCCCTGGGGCCTTCGCATCCCTCTGGGAGAGTCAGCCCGGTCTGTGTCTAACACCGTTTCCGCTTCCCTAAAACAGGTGAGAGAGGTTCTGTGGAAGGTGGTTTGGGATCCTAGGTTACGACCACCTGGATTCTCCGGGAACCTCTTCCTACCCCTGCCCCCCCGGAACATGGACTTGATGGTTGCTGGTCCTTCTGTGCATTCTCTTCTCCTCCTCGTCACCGGAGAGGCAGCTCGTGGCGGGCCGCTGGGATTTCTTGCCTGTGTTGTGTGCTGGTTCCATGGGAGTCGTGACTATTTCTGCATTTTTTTCTCGGGGCTATCTGTCTGTGTCCTCTGGACTTCTGCCCCCAGGCTGTTGGGGTGGGGAAATTTCCCTTGGGAAATTTCCCTTGGAGCTTCTTTGGGGATTTTGAGAATTGGGTGGGACAAAACCAAGCTGGCTTTCTCTCTGACCACAAGCCCTTTTTCTCCAACGTTTATTAGTACCAGCTTGTTTGCCTTTTATTTTAAATCCTACGTTTTTAAACAAATGTATTTTTTTAAAGTTTATTTTGAGAGAGAGAGAGAGAATGAGCGAGCACGAGCATGAGCGGGGGAGGGGCAAAGAGAGAGGGGGAGAGAGATTCCCAAGCAAGCTCCGTGTTGTCTGTGCAATTCAGTCCCGTGAACCGTGAGATCATGACCCCAGGTGAAGTCGAGAGTCCGACTCGCAACTGACCGAGCCTCCCAGGTGCCCCAAACCCATGTATTTCATAAACCTGTTATATATTAGGGGTAGAGAGATCTTGAAGTCTGGCTTCATGATGCCATCTTAAGCCAGACATCCGCTTGTTTTAACTTATTTAAAAAAGAAATTTTTTTTTTTAATGTTTATTTATTTTCGAGAGGGAGAAAGAGAGTGCGAGCAGGGGAGGGGCAGAGAGAGAGGGAGA